GTGTTGTCCTCAGCACTGGGACCCCACAGTTTGCAGAGAGCAACCATTTGTGTCAGCAAAAGCCTGGGTTGTTGGGGAATTTCAATGGGACCTCCTTGACCAACAACTCAATTACATACAACCCTGCCCTGCCACTGGAAGCCCTGCCTGTCCTGCCTGTCACAGATGGTCAGGTGAGACTCTGAATCTCCCATCACTAGGAGTCCTCAAAGGACTCCCTACATAAATTCCAGGTTGTTTCTACTGTATTTGTTGTTCACACCACTACCAAATGCCTAGGAATTCTAGCAGTTTCTCCCTGCACTCTCTCCCCACACCCCATCTCCCTCCCCACCTGATTTACCCCACACTGTTCCCATCTACCCAATCTGCCTGCAAAATCTATTTTATTTCTCACTCCCAGGGAGATCCATGTGTCACTCCTAGACTCTTCCTCTTTTCCTAAATTTCTATGTGTATGAACTGTAGCTTGGTTATTATTTACTTAAAGGCTAATGTCCACTTATAAGGGAATATGATGGGAGATGTCATTCTGTAACTATGTTTCTCTTACTGGTTAATGAATAAAGCACTGTTAGCCGATAGGAAAGCAAGATAGGTGGGACTAGGAGACAAGGGAGATTTGGGAAGTAGTAGGGAGGAATTTCAAGATGTAGGACCAACAGGGTAGAACTCTGGGCCCTCTCTCCAGTAAGAGAAGACCATGCAGAAACACTTAGATTAATAGAAATGGGTTTATATGTAAGACAGAGCTAGCCAACAGCATTGTATTTAATACAGCCTGTGTGTTATTTGGGGTTGGCACAGCTCTGGGACCAGGCCGATGGGAAAACATGCTCGTAACAGGAATATATAGCATATTTATCATTTTGGGTATGGGTTACTTCACTCATGATTTTTTTTTCTAGTTCCATACGTTTTCTTGCAAATTTCTTGATGTCCTTTTTTTTAACAGTTGTGTAATGTACCAGTATGTAAATATATTACATTTTCTGTATCTACTCTTCTGTTAAAAGAGAACTAGGTTGTTTCCAGTTTCTGGCTATTATAATTAAAACCACAAAGAATGTAATTTAGCAAGTGTTTTGTCGGGTGGATAATCCTGTGAGTATATGCCCAAGGGTAGCATACCTGGATCTTGAGGTAGATCGATAGATTCCCAATCTCCCAGAAGCCTTCTCTTACAATCTTCTACATTTCCCAACTCCTTTCTAATCCTCTCCTATTCCATACCCACTGAGTTTTATTTTCTTTCTCCTTTTTAATAACAACAAATGCTGGGAAGGTGATAACCAGGAGGGGAAAGGATAAGAGAAGGTAATGAAGGCTGGGGTGGGGAGGGGGTTGTGTTCACAGTACACTGTATACAAATAAGGAACTGTCTGATTTGTTAAAATAATTTTTAAAATGGGTACTTTAATCAGTAATTATACCCATTGGGAAAATATATATTTAGAAGAGCAAGGACATTTGGTTTCAAGATATAAGCACATATAAAGATGTCAAAGAGCATTTTAAATGCACACAGGTTTTAGTAAATTATATCACAATTATTTTAAAAATAAATATTTAAGATTTAATATTCACTTTAATCCCAGCACTCGGGAGGCAGAGGCAGCTGGATCTCTGTGAGTTCAAGGCCAGCATGGTCTACCGAGAAAGTTTCAGGACAGCTTCCAATGCCACAGAGAAACCCTGTCTCGAAAAAAAGAAAAAATAATCTACCATTCATAATCACTATGTTTAGTTAATATCTGTGTTCTTGGGGTTATCTGCACCTATTCAATCAGTACATTGGAAAATGAATAAAAAGGTTATTACTACATATTCTTCCAGACTCCATGAGCAGTGACATCTCAGCAGATGAAAACTGATCTCAATAGTTTACAAGGAAATTGGCAAAGGCTACAAAACTGTGCTTGACACTTAACATACTACTGAATGCTTGAACTTAAGAAACTGATGGGTGATATGTTTAAAATGCACACTAAACTTACAAATGTATGTATGTTCTACATGGGCATCATACACTGACAACAACCTTAGGGAAAGTTGTTTTCCTCCAGTATTTAAAAGCAGTTGTTCTACGTGACAAAATACTATGCCTACCCCTGCAGTATGAGCAAAATCCTGTGGGTATTTGTTGTTACACTCTGTTACATCTGTTCAAATAAATTTGGGCCTGGCTCAGTCACACAAGCCTTTAATTCCAGCAGTTAGGAAGCAGGAAGGCTGAGGTGGTGGATCTCTGTGAGTTCTAGGCCAGACCAGTCTACATAGGAAGCTCCAGGATTGCCAGGATTACATTTTCCTATCTCATCATCATCATGGTAATAATAATAAAAATTCACTGAAGGAAAATAAAAATATATGAACAGTCATTTTATTAGAGATGTCCAAGTTACAATTAAGCACATGAAATAAGTGTTTTATTTCAGAATACCTAAGGAAATGCAATGAAATACACAGTGAAATGTCACAATACACTAAGTACAGTAAAATCTTAAAGGACTGACCTTATCCTGTACATGCCAGGATGTAAAGCAACAACCATTTTCACATACTGCTAGCAAGAATGCAGTAGAGAACAGACACATTAGAGTTGGCATTTCCTAAACTGCTCTTCAAATAATCCATCTTTAACTCTGGTGTTACAATTTAAGTTATTAACACAAAGAAAGTGATTAAAATGTATAGCCAAGTGAAAACTGAAACACTAACAGCAGATTTATTCATGATCTATAAAACTCTAAATAAATTAATGGATAAACAGTTGATCCACACAAAATACTGCTCAGCAACAATAACAATGTTTCATACAAGAACCACTGTTGAATCTTGAATTATACAACACATCCACACATACACAAGCATTCGTGTTATGATGACAGTAATTTAAAATTCCAAATGATGTAAACTAATCTGTTTAAGGAAAATCAAGGCCTGAAGAGATGGTTCAGCAGTTAAGAGCACTAGACATTCTTCCAGAGAACCTGGGTTCAGTTCCCAGCAACCACATGGGGGCGCCACAATCATCTGCCATACCAGCCCCAGGAGAGCCTACTCCCTCTTCTGGCCTCCACAGGTACTAAGCATGCATGTGGTACACAAACATACATGCAGGAAAAACACACATACACACAAAGTTTAAATTAAAAAAAAATTGGTTTCCAGGTGAGGTAGGAAATGTAAGATAATAAATGTGCATGTCACAAATACACAGATGACAAAAAAATTTGTTTTTAGAACAGTAATGATTTCAAGACTTTACCAACTGGGGTTTTGTTTTGTCATGCTGTATTGCCCTCCCTGAGCCACAAACTCCTGGGCCCATGAACTCCTCAGTTGCCACTCTTCCCAGAAACTAGAACTACAAGCACAAGCCACAGCACCATGCCATGTACTTTGCCACTTATATAAATAAGTGGGAGTATAGACAGTGTCCCAAAACAGTATACCTAGACGGCCCTCTGTTCTCAGATCTTTTTTACAGCCTAATGTGGATTCCACCATAATTCTTCTCAGAACCTGAGAGATGCAGCCATGCTCCACTGGCAGCCAAACTTGATAAGTAATAAAAGTTACTGCCCCTTGAATCACAAATAGGTCTGAATTATACCCTACCCTACAAAACCACCTCCCCTGGTGTGTTTTCCTGCCTGTACAGCTTTTGACCCAAGGCAGAGAAGAAAAAAAAAATAAAGAAATTCACAAAAACAGCCATACAGGTCTTGAGAACATCTATAGATGAATTCTTAGTAGAAGCAGAGAGATGGCTCAGCAAGTAAAAGCATTTGCCAAAAGCCTGATGACTTAAAAGTCAATCTCCGGAACCCACATGGTAGAACAGAATCATCTCAAAAATCTGCCTTCTGACCTCCACACATGTGCCACGGTGCATGTGCACCAACACACATACATGTCCAGTAAAGAAAATGCAAGGTAATTCCTGCATCTATTAATTTAATCACAAACTGCTGCCCTGCTCACTAGTATTATATCAAATGGTTCCAAAGCAAGGCCTCAACAATGCTAGGACTTATTTGACACCCCAGTGGAAACATTAATTGTTCATGTGGTTTACAAAAGCACCTGAGATCACCATAATTCTCTTCACCAGGACTTCTTAGCTCACAAAAATCATAGCACCTTCAGTTAGTCAGTAACACAAAACCTGACAGTCTTATCTGTGAAGGCAGGGGCAGCCATGAAAATCAGACCAATACTCTTCGGAAACACAGAAAGTGAGGCTATCTATGAAACTCATCCATGCCTCCAAGCTGACATCATGAGTCAATTGATAAGTCACACCACAGAACAAAGAGAACCTTCAAGATTAAAGGTGCATAAACAAACTATCTTTTCAAAAAGATAAGTCAGACATTCTGTGCAGCAAGCACTTCCCATGTCAGTGAATTCTAACCTGGAAATATTCATCACAAGCACACTATGAAAACAAAACTTCCACCTGAACAAGGTAATCTTTCATAGCAAAGTTAAATGCACAACTTAGACCATACCTCCCAAACACAACTCTTGCCCTAAAAGGGAATGAGGGGTCTCCAAGGCAAAAACAGAGCAGAGTAGGGACGTTTGCTTCTCTGAGCATGCAGGAGGGATACTCATCCTCAGTGTTAATCATCCAGGCAACAGGGTTTCTACCACAGACACTGTCAATGGCATAAATCAGGACATGACCCTGGGCACACTAGATATATCTGAAATAACCCTCACTTTTGAAGCCCATATGAATTATCTTTAAACCCAGAGAGGGCTGCATGTCTTCTCCAGTGTTACTACACTACCACACTAAACAGTACATTTCTTACACAATAAAGAACTTTCTTAGGAAGCTGGGCTTTGGTGGCACACGCCTTTAATCCCAGCACTCAGTAGGCATAGGCAGGGGGATCTCTGTGAGTTCGAGGCCACCCTGGTCTAAAGAGCTAGTTCCAGGGCAGGCTCCAAAGCAATACAGAGAAACCCTGTCTCAAAAAAAAAAAAAAAAAGAAATTTCTTAGGTGTGAACTCTCTGGTGTCGAACAAGATTAGAGCGACGGCTAAAGGATTTCTCACAGTCATTGCACTCATAAGGCCTTTCTCCGGTGTGAACCCTTTGGTGCTGAATAAGGTCAGACTTGTGGGTAAAGAGTTTTCCACATTCAGTACATTCATAAGGCTTTTCTCCACTGTGGCTTCTCTGGTGTTGGATTAGGCTAGCACTTTGGCTAAAAGACTTCCCACATTCACTACATTCATAAGGCCTCTCTCCAGTGTGCAGTCGCTGGTGTTGAATAAGGCTAGCACTCTGACTAAAGGCTTTCCCACATTCGACACACTCATAAGGCTTCTCTCCAGTGTGAACTCTCCGGTGTTGAATGAGGCTAGAACACTGTCTAAACGACTTCCCACATTCTTCACACTCATAAGGTCTTGTTCCAGTATGAATTCTCTGGTGTTGGATGAGGTCAGACTTTCTGGTGAAGGAGGCGCCACAGTCCCCACACTTATAAGGCCTTTCTCCAGTGTGAACTCTTTGGTGTTGGATGAGGATGAATTTGCGACTAAAGGATTTCTCACATTCACTGCATTTGTAAGGCCTATCACCAGTATGAACTCTCCGGTGCCGAATGAGGTTGGAGAACTGTCTGAAGAATTTCCCACACTCGCCACACTCATACGGCCTTTCCCCGCTGTGGATTCGCTCATGTTGAATGAGTTCGGCTTTGCAGCTAAAGGCTTTCCCACAATCACTGCACTGGTGAGGCATTTCTCCAGTGTGGACTCTTCTGTGTCTAATGAGATTGAAAATTTGTCTAAAGGATTTCCCACACTCATAGCACTCATAAGGTCTTTCTCCAGTATGAATTCTGTGGTGTCTAAAGAGGCTAGAGTTTTGTCTGAAGGATTTCCCACACTGATCACATTGGTAAGGCCTCTCTCCAGTGTGGATTCTCTGGTGTTCAGTGAGGTTGGATTTGTACGTAAAGGATTTTCTACATTCCACACACTCATAATGGACTCTACTACTATGGTGTCTCTGATGGTAAATGAGTTCAGATTTATAGACAAAGGCTTTTCCACATTCAGTACATTTATAGGGTCTCTCTTGAGGACGAATTCTATCATGTGCAATGAGGTGACACTTTTTGCTAAAGGACTTTTCATGCTGAGAATGCTCATATATCCTTTGTCCCGTGTGACTGTCATGGTGTTGAGCAAGTTTGTACTTGCAAGAGAAGGCTTTCTCATACTTGCTACACTCATGAGGCCCTTTTTCAGGCGAGGCACTCTGATGCTGAACAAGTGCGTGTTTGTGGCTTGAACCTTTTTGGCATTCTCTGTACTTAAGTTTTTCTCCACTCAAAAGTACTTCCCCACATTTGCCACCAGTGGGAGACTGTTCACTACTACAAGCAGCCTGCTGCTGAAGACAGCCTATGGAGGCAAGGGCCTCTTCCCCATCCTTCCCAAAGATGAATGGCTTTATCAACACATGGGGTCTGCAGCTTGACATAAATGAAGCCCTGTCAGCATCCCCTTCACAGGGCTTTTCTCCAGTGTAATTCTTCTGGCACTGGTTAATGTCTTCGTTCAAACCAGAGCTTTCCACACATGTTCTAGACAAGTACAATGTCTGCATAGTGTGTGTGCTTGGGAATTCAGCCTGGTGTAAGACATCTTCCAAAGCTAGGACAGGTGTCTCAAAGAGATGAGTCTCCTGAGTAGATGGACTTGTCTTAGACATCACCCCTTCTAGAGGTACGTCATGCTCAGAAGTTACCTCTTCAACCCTCATTCCAGGACAGGAACCTGAAATCAGAGACATACATGCTGAAATGCAAATGAAATAATGCTAGCATCAGTGGAAAGAGAAAAGCCCACCACAAAGGTAAGTTAGACACAGAAAACAATGGCACAGCTGGACTTAAGATTACACCAGTACTCTAAGCACTTGGCAATCTAAGTTGCTACACAACCAAGAGCTTATCACCCCCCTACCACCACCACACACGCTGGCGTGCGCGCGCACACACACACAATAGGATAAGAAACAATGAAACTACTGGACTGTTCTAAGAACAAAATAGTTGCAGACCAGCTGAGGGAGCTGTTTCAAATATAGTACAAGGTACATTACCCTAGACAAAGGATACAGGATGGGATGCAGGAAAGGAGGAACAGGGTAGGGTCTCCAAGCAATTCCTCAAGTGACAGCCATCAGCAGGACCTTTTCTATTGGGGTTATGGCTACAATGAGCAAAAACAATGAAACTAAGCAGCTAGTGATCAAGGGTTAATTAAAGCTATGCATGTGCCCCATGGTACCACTTGTCAAAACTAAGAATGCAATGGCATCAAGGTAGCCAAGAGCTAGAAGGCACAGGTAAAATCACAAGATGGCAAAGTATTAAACATGGAGAAGGTAGAAATGAAACACAATGGGTGACTCCTTTATTAAAACATGGTGGGGCACTTTATTGGTTTCTGATATGACAGAATCATGTCTTTCCCTGGGTACCTATTAGCAGATCTGGTCTCCTCTAAGACAATCTTGTTTCATGTCAACTCTATGAGGCAACCAAGACCATCCCTACAGCACTAACCACATGAGAAATGAAAATTACAATATTTTAAAAAAGAAGAAAAGAAAAAGCAAATGAGTGACCAGTACTAATTCATAGCAACTCAACATAAAATAGCGTATGAGAAGAAAACAGAACTAAAAACTTAAGGGTCCTTCAAGAATAGCCCACGTTTTATTTAAAAATAAACATAACAATGCCGGCAATTCCTCACAGAGGCAGCCATAAAGAAATGTCAAATAAGCCTGGTGCATGCCTTTAATCCCAATACTTGGGAGGCAGAGGCAGGCAGATCTCTCTAAGGAGTTCAAGGCCAGCTTGGACTACATAGTGAGTTCTAGTATATCCAGAACTATAAAGAGAGGCCCTATCTCAGGAAGGAAGGAAGGGACAGAAGGAGGGAGGAAGGAAGGGAGGGAAGGAGGGAGGGACGGACGGAGAAAAAGAAAGAAATGACAACTATAGGAATTAGGTGGGAACCAAGGCAAAGGATGCTATAGATGTGGACAGTCACCCTAATGGAGAAATTTTGAGACTTGTTATGACTCCAGAGATAGCAGTCACTCTCAGGAAAAAGTAATGGTAGAAACCACTTAAGACATTAGGAGGGATGCAAGGACCTTACCCAGAGATGCCACAAGTGCAAGGTTCTCCAGCATCACACTGCAGTACAGGAACCTCTGGGCCTTATCAAGGAGCACCCACTCTTCCTGAGAGAAGTGAATGGCCACATCCTCAAAGGTCACACCCTATCACAGTGGAGACAATTCGTCATATGATCAGCTTCTCTTTCAGAACTCCAAGTACACCCTGTTGACCCAATATACATTTATGATGCATTTCCTTCTGAAGACTCCAAGGTAATATACATCTCCCATCCAATCCTATCATCCCACAAGGAAATATCAGGCCTGGGTACCACTTACTCCAAATATCTCTCAGTCTCAATGATCACTGACCACCTATGCACAGCACCAATAGAAGGACAGTAAGTAGCATCTACCTCCAGCCCTGACAGGTAGAGCTGCACGCTTTACTTACATAGAACTAGCCTGCAGTCCTCCATATCCTTCGTCCTATATACAACCAAACAAGGATTTGCAACCTTCATTCCTATGTCTTCAGTGTGAACTTTGGGGTCATCGGTTAACTCTTCCATCCCAAGTGCATAGGATTCTGTTCCACACATCTCTCTATCCTTGCTCACAAACACAGCAAAGTGCAGCCCTTTGGCCTACCCATTGGTTACTCAGCATGTGAGATCCAGAGAGTCCTTAGGAAAATCAAACAGGATCCAACATATGCCCCCAAACCTCTCACAGACCCTAGTACAAAGCTGACCCAACCCTATTATGATGACATCCTACTTTATGCTATTGCTTTGTTCAAATTTACCCAGCAACCATCACTAGTAAAGCCAGGTATATTGACTCATGCCTATAATTCCAGCACTTAGGAGACTGGGGCAAAAAGATTGCCACAAGTTCAAAGCCAGCTTGGGCTACATAATGACATGGTAGGCCCACTTCAGTCCAAGTTCATACAAACAGTAAAGATTGCTGAAGAAACTAGCCTGGAAAAGACACTACAACCGGGCATGCTACCTATCTGCAAGCTGTGCAGCATGCTCTAGGCTTCCAGCTTTCATGAGTCATCAGCCCACGCAGGGGTGGTCTTTTGCTGACACAGCTAATCACTGAATCATTTCTACTCCTGTAGGTAGCCTTTGACTCGCATTCCTGTAAGGAGCCCTAATAAATCTCACTAATTCACCAAGGTGGACTTCGCTGGCATCCTTACTTTTGTCTGTCCTCAATTCCCTATGTGGGATGTATAGACATTTGTTCAGGTCTCCACAGGATTAGTGTCAACACACCATCTATCTCCCTTATCCCGTTTCTCATGCAGCAGCCACAGAGAGCCTGAGGAGAATGTGTTGGCTCGCCAGCTTCCTTCACACCCAAATCTCCTGTCGCCATATTCACATACAAAGTACACATTCTGTTTTTTTCAGAGTCATTCCAGGTAGGACTGCTGCACCCCACTGATCCCTATTCCAGGTAGGAAGCAGATATGCACATGCCTGAACTAATTCAATCCCCCCTTCAGGCTGAGGCGCATACTAGAGAAGTAACCTTCTACACCCACTTGCCAACGATTTCATGCAACCCTCAGCCTACACACAAAACTCTGCGTTGTGTACCTAACCTGTTCAAGACTGCAAGACCCAGGGCTATCCTGGGGAGCAAGGGGAGAATAGACCAGGGACATTGCTAACCTAAAAACTGTATGGGTAGGATGAGGGTAACGGTAGGTTCCACTTACCAGGCCTGGGCCCATAACTGCTTCTGAAGACAAGGGAACCTGAAAAAAGGAAGGAGGCTGTGAGAATCTGGTAACTACCGGCAAGTTTCACAGGCTCCAGTTGCTTAGTGTCCCTGCCCACCCTGGGCCTCGATGGCCTGGGATGGCTGCAGACCATCTATACAGCGGTCCACAGTGCTGAATCTCAGGTGAGACGTGACACCTGTGACATGCACTCTATTCTGTCCTGCCTACCATGTCTCTTCCTGTCTGTTCTTCCTCTGAGTACCTTCTGGAAAATTTACAATTCTATTTCCGGACACAGTCCCTGTTGACAATTCTCACTGGCTCTAGTGTCCTAAGAATTAAATCCAAATTCCTCAGTTGCAACGCGGCCACGCAACTGTTTCTGCAGACACTTACACACCAAGACTCCATATCTTCTGTGCCCTCCCGCCCCTTCCAGGCCTCTGAGCATTGCAGCATTCACAAATCCCAGGATACAGATGTCTATGAATGGGGGCTCCTCGCCCCACCCACAGCATCTTGGGCCCGGGACATCAGCTATGAAATGCTGGGTCATGGTCGGGGCCTCTCTCCGTGCTCTAGTTCTCGGTGAGACCCGCAGCACGCAGCACTTACCTGTGCCGGGTCCTTGTGTGCAGCCACAGCCATTGGACTCTGCAGCCGGAGCAAGGACCGGGTCGCCGAGGTCTCCTGCCAGGCCTGGCGCAGGTCTCGTGGGCGGAGTCGCTGGGCCGCAGCAGGGCCTCTGCACCGCAGTGCAGCTCGCTGCGCTCCGCCAGCCAGAGGGAACGCTCACCTCGCCCCGCTTCCAGCTAGGTAAACAAACCCCAGACACGCCAAAAAGACCGCCAAGAGGAGGACCACGCCGGAAGTCCAGCTCAGGAACAAACCACACGCGCGCGCACCCACTCACCTCAAAAAATAAAAATAAAAATAAATGCTAAATTTTCATTGGCTCAACTCTGCCCCAATGTCTCGCATGCGTATTGCATCCCGGGAAATGTAGTTTCCACAGCTCCCAAGGCAGGTACCCTATCCTCCTCCCCCATCTTGACCCCTGTGAACTTAGTTAAAACAGGTAAGCTGCTGGGAGTAGGTGACTAAAGCTTCCAGAGAAGGGAGAAATACTTAAATGAAGCTGTTTCCGGATTTCTGGGATCTGTTGTGTGGCTGATCTTGTCTGTGGTTGGTAACATTTCAGAAAAAATGAAGTTCATTGGCCATCAAGTGGCTACAAAGGAAAACAGAATCAAATGGACATATTCCATAGAGCAATTTAGACACAACACAACACAACACAACACACACACACACACACACACACACACACACACACACACACACACAATGAGGGACTCCAAGATGTGGCTCTCATAAGGTCACCCCATCCAAGATGGAGTGGAACATTATGGAGAATCAGGTATTTATGTTGCACACATTCACCTATAAGTACCTCCCACCAGTGTTCTGGAAGGATGGTGTGTGTGTGTGTGTGTGTGTGTGTGTGTGTGTGCAAACTCTTGGCTAAACTATAATGAACATTTTCTTATTGCTGTTTATAGGCTTTCAATCAAAAGCATCAGTGACAAAATGTGTAACTGTATGTTCAGTAATGACAAGACAAAAATAAAAATAAAAAATAAATCAATGTCCATTGAGGACATGATGTAGAAGATAAAGAGGGCTGTTTAGACTCCCCTAGAGCAGAAGAGGTTGAGGGGACATCTTTGCCTCCTGTCTATTTTCCAGTAATTGTATCCAATGTATGAGTCTATGCTGATTTTTTTCATTTAATATTTCTTGCTCAGCATCCAAAGAAACAGTTGCCTTAAGAATGTACACACCCACTGTGTCTACCATCACCCTGAGTACAATTATGTCAGGAGATTGGAATTTGGGGCAGGAGAGATCAGTTAAGAGCACACAGACTGCTCTTGCAGAGTAACCAGGTTCAATTCCAAGTACCAATGTGGTGACTCACAACTTTGTTACTCCAGTTCCAAAGGGTCCAATTCCCTCATCTGGCCTCTGCAGGCACCAGGCCTACAAAGTGATTCACAGATATCCATATGCATAAAATTAAAATTAAAAAATAAATTGAATTTATTGCCAGCTATGGTCTGGCATATATTCCTAATGGAATAATTCATAAGGTTATGCTTATACAGTTTAATTCTTAGTTTTATAAATACAGTGTAATAATTGTTAAAAATATTTGTGCCTCCTCCTCCCTTCATCCCAGTCCTCCCACAACATCCCTACCCCACCCCTCATCTACTCCTCAGAGGGGGTGAGGCCTTCCATGGCAATCACCAAAGTCTGCCACATCTTTGGGGCAGGACCTAGGCCCTCCCTCATTTATTTCGACTGAGCAAGGCATCCTTCGATAGGGAATGGGCTCCAAAAGCCCAGTTCATGTACTAGGGATAAATACTGGTTCCACTGCTAGTGGCCCTATGGATTGCCCAAGTCCCCCAACTGACACCCATATTCAGAGGGCCTAGTTCAGTCTTATGCATGTTCCCAGCTGTCAGTGAGCTTCCACTGGCCCAGGTCAGCTGTTTCTGTGAGTCTTTCCAACATGGTCTTGACCCCTTTGCTCGTATTATTGCTCCTCCCTCTCAGCAACTGGACTCTAGGATTTCAACAAGTAAACTTTTAAATACACACCTCACACATTTTTAAAAAAATTATCTGAAGTATCTGCTGGTCAAAGAGCTGCCTCATTGGCATCCAGTTTTGTGGGGTTTGTTTTGTTTTCAGTACCCCACCATTGTCTACTTACCATCCCCACCTGAATCAAATCTTTCCTGTAAAACACTGTCCTATTGCACACGGAATGGTTTTTGTTTTTGTTTTGTTTTTTTGTTTTTGTTTTTTTTTTTTTGTTGCTGTCCATCTTTCTTGACTATAACTGTCTCAGTTAGGGTTTCTTTTGCTGCAATGAAACAGTTTGACCAAAAAGCTAGTTGTGGAGGAAAGAGTTGGTTTATTTAGTTTACACTACATGAGATCATTGTCTATCATTGGAGTAAGTCAAGACATGACAAAATAGGGCAGGGTCCTGGAGGCAGGAGCTGCTTACTGGCTTCCTTCTCTTGGCTTACTCAGCCTGAGTTTACTTAGAACCCAAGATCATCAGCCTAGGGAGGGAACAAACCAAAATGGGCTGGGCCCTCCCCTATCAATCACTAATTAAGAGAATGCCCTACAGTTGTGTCTTATGGAGGCATTTTCTCACTTAGGGCTCCCTCCTTTCTGATGAGTCTAGCTTCCAGCACAATAATATTGACAGGAAGCATCCTTTGTCAATCTTCTTTTAATTTTAAAATTATTTATTGAATCATTGGTTTGTGTGTGTGTGTGTGTGTGTGTGTGTGTGTGTGTGTGTGTGTGTACACCTACAATGTATGTACTGGCCAAAGAAAAGCTTGGGGAGGCAGTTTTTTTTTCCTTCCACTGTGTAAGTCCCAGCAATGGAACTCAGGTTATAGTCCTTGGCAGTGATGTCTTCACAAGCTCAGCCATCTCTCTGGCTTTAGTCTTTCCTTGATGCATCCCATATACCCAAAATAACATGTACCACACATGAGAATCTGTGAATGACATTTCCTCCAAATTCACTTTTAACAGTCAGACCATCATCTTTTGTCCCGTTGTCCAAGATCAAATGCCATGCCCAGCAGCTCACGGCCACCCAGTCCTCATCTTCCTACTATTCTAGGTATCCATGTTGTAAATTTCTCAGAATGCAAAAAATAAGCACCCAAGGGGAAAATCAAGTTGTCAAGATGCACAGCCAAACTTATTCTCATTTCCTAGACCTCAGTGCCCTTGCCTCTTAACACTTGTAGTAACACTTGTTGTTTTCAGCCATCTCAGATGGTGTTTTCATCTGCATTCCCCATACCCTGGCATGATCTGTCCCTGATACCTCTAATCCCTTTCAGGGATTTGAACATGGTGCAGGTGTTTTTCAGAGATGACTCTAATGTGCTTGCAGGCACTGTCACTGCACTAAAGGGTAAAATGATAATCACCTCCCAGCAGGATGACTTCCCTGTGTGCCAAGCCTTTATCTCAGGGATGAAATGCCCTCCTGTGCACACTCTCTGAGTGTGACTGAGGTGGCTGCTGCCCCAGGGAATATAATTTGCTGCTTCTTTTCAGACAGGTTGGTATCTCTGGAAATCTTTAAGAATATAGTATGAACATGCAACCTTTTCGAGATACGCTAGAACAAAATTGCTCAGAACTAGCCAGGGACTACTGGATTCAAATGATCTATTTTGTTCAGCCTGAGAGTGTGCCAGGCTGGCTAGGAGATTTAAAAATCTATAATAGCATGCTGTCCTAGACCTGAGAATTCACCTCTGTGCATTCACCTCTGTGCATATTCTGTAACATCCTCACAGCCATACATAAACCACTCCTTTCTTACTGGCTCTGGAAAGCAATGTGAGCCTTATGATACCACTGATTCTATCTCTATGGAAAGAAACTTCCTAGGACCCATGTGATGAAGGTAAATGAACCTTTTAAAAATGTATAATAAGAAAAAATTATATATATATACATACATACATATATATGAATAATTAAAAGGAAAAGGCAGGGAAAAAAGAGCATAGTTGGGGAGTGTGAAAGAATATACTAGAAGCCTGTGAAAAAACAAGGTAGATTAGCAGCAGGGCTTGTCTTCACTCTCTCTCTTATCCTCCTCCACATCAATTCCACCAGTCTCATCTCCAGCTCTTCATCACAGTGGCCACAGCAGCCTTTCCAGCCCAATGCTCCCATTCCCTGCCGATTCCACAGACTTTATCCTCTATAACCTCCTCTTGCTGTCTTTTTCCTGAGACAGCAGTTCCAGCAGGTACCCACTGTTATCCCAAGGGGTGCTCCTCCTCGGGCAGCAAGAAGGCTGAAGACAGGCACACACCTTTTCTACTGCACTTAAGATCCTAGTTTCACCCCCCAGCTCAGTAGCAGAAATCCCCTGTGGCCCC